CGGGAGCCGTGGTTTGCCGACCACAAGTCTAGAACATTTCCAGTGGCACTGCTTTGGCATGTAAATTCCTTCCTTGTCCCCTCAGAGAGCAGCATTTTCTTAGCTTTGTGTTTATCATACCCTTCTTTGTGCACGCGCGCTCTCTCTCTCTCTCTCTCTCTCTCTGCCCCTCTCCCTCTCCCCACTATCTATATATATGAAAGCCTAAGCAACCGGCCAACTGGCCAGTAGCTATGACTCACACTGACCACCAGGGGGCAGACGCTCAGCACACAGGCATGGAAACATGGAACAGACTGATGAATCTCAGAGGGAAGGGGGGAGGGGGGAGAGCAGGAAGAGATTAACCAAAGATCTTATATACATACTAGAGACCCAGTGCATGGATTCGTGCACCAGTAGGGTCTCTCGGCCTGGCCTGTGGGGATCAGGCCGAAACCAGCAGTCCAACATCCCCAGAGGGGTCCCAGATTGTGAGGCAGCGCAATCCAGGCCGAGGATTCCACTGGTGCATGAATCTGTGCATGGGGCCTCTAGTTTATCAAATAAAAGTGTTCCTTTGTCTTAGATACTCCCATAGATAATTGTGCATGGATATCTAATTATCCTAACAACTCTATTGATTTGCTTAAAAGGTCAGAAATTTGAATTAAATGTACTGTGTATTTGATGTTAAATAATAAATTCACCATAGTGGATAAAACAGTCAGAGACCCTCAACAGCCAGCCTCCTCGTTGCTGCTCAGAGTTTGTGCTCAGTTCCCCCTGCAGTTTGTCACTGTGTCAATCAGTGCACAGTAGCTCATGGCCGAATCTGACTCGCAGACTGAGCCTTTCTCCAAGTGGATGGTATTTAGTTGTTTATGGGATGTGGCTTCAGATCGTCTGCTGCTTCCCTTCTCATTGGCTTTTGTGGCATTCAGGAGCTGTGGACCTTCTCCAGGATACTGAACATGCCAGAGAAGACTGGGATACCTTGTGATTTCATAAGAGCAGTTCACAGTCAGGGAAGCTCCTTCTGAAAGGGTCACTTGACCTTTTGTCTGGGTCACCGAGTCTCCACGGGTTCGTCCTGGGGAAAAATAAAAGAGATCTGTGTCTCTTCAAGTTGGGCATAAAGCTCTTAAATAAAATTATGGTTAAAGAATTTGCTCACATAACAGAAGAAAGAGTCCATATATTGAGAGTTGTGTTACTTACCAAGCACTAAGAGTACCACAGTGACCAAGCCTAGAGAAGAGTTCATCTCTAGAGTGTCACCTAAATAATGTTCTTGACTCTTAATATGAAGAAATTTTGAAGTCACAGTGAAAAGATAAATCAAAGCCTACATTTCACACAAAAAATGTTTGTGTTGGGATGCAGCACCCCCTGGTGGACAGGGACTAAAATGAGATGCCTGTTTCTCAGTCTTCCAAAGTCAACAATATTTTCCAAGCGCATGTAAGTCTTCACATGGCCCTTGTAAATCTGAACATGAGCTGTCATAACCTTTAAGGTTTATTTTGTTCTTCGGCCACCACCTGACATGGAAGTTCTTTAACAAAGCATGATATTTCTGTAACTGGGAAGATAACATTTTGATCATTTTAATACAATCCTTCATACAATTTTTTATATTCTTATGTATCCTGTGTGACAGCCTATAACCCATGAATGTTAGAAAGACATTTGGATTGAAATGAGAGGAAGGATAAAGAAGTAGAGTATTATTGAATGGGTCTATGTTTTTCAGCATGTAGAACAGCAACTGACAATGTGCTCACTAAATATTTGTTAAATAAAACAAATTATTAAATAATAATAATAATCAGTCTCTGATTGACGAATCATTACCATATTGAAATACAATATTTCTTCCCCTTCCTCCCTCCCTTCGAAAAAGCAGTGGAAAAAATATTCTCAGGAGAGGATTAACAAACAAAATAAAAAAAAAAGATACCTTAAGACAAATGAAAATGAACATACAATGACCCCAAATCTATGGGACATAGAAAAAGTAGTCCTAAGAGGAAAATTCATAGCAATACAAGCCTACTTCAAAAATATAAGAAAATTTCAAATAAACATCTAAACTCACACCTAGAAGAATTAGAAAAACAATAAATAGCACAGCACAAATGGAGTAGAAGACAGGAATTTTTTTAAAAATCACACTGGACATAAAGAAAATAGACTCTAATCTTCCCATTGCAACAAGAAAAATTAAGATATTTAGGAATAAACTTAAACAAGGAGGTAAAAGAACAATACTTGGAAAAGTACAGAATGTTGAAAAAAGAGATAGAGGAATATATAAACAAGTGAAAGAATATACCGTGTTCATGGGTTGGTAGAATCAACATCATTAAAATGTCCATACTACCCAAGGCAATATACAGATTCAATGAAATCCCTATTAAAATACCAATGGCATATTTCACAGATCTAGAACAAACATTTCAAAATTTCATATGGAACCAAAAAAGACCACCAATAGCTTCAGCAATCTTGAAAAAGAACAAAGTTGGAGGAATCACAATACCACATAACAAATTACACTACAAAGCCACTGTAATGTAAACAGCCTGGTACAGGTACAAGGACAGGCATATAGATCAATGGAACAGGACAGAGACCCCAGAAATTAACCCAAGCCACTACACTAATAATATTTGAAAAAAGAGGCAAGAGCATGCAATGAAGTAAAGGCAGTTCCTTCAATAAATGGACTTGGGAAAATTGGACAGGTACATGCAAAAAAAAAAAAAAAGAAAAGAAAAGAAAGAAACTAGACCACCAACTTATACCATACACAAGAATAAACTCAAAATGGATAAAAAACTTAAATGTAAGTCATGAAACAAACAAACAAAAAATCTTAGATGAAACAATAGGCAGAAAAATCTCAGACATCTCTCATACCA